CAATTTATGTCATATACTAACATACCAAATCTCGTTTTTTTAAGATATAGCGGTGGACCACTTTTGAGACGCATCCGCCAATAGAATTACTGGAAATCTATTCAAGGTCGTTACGCCGTTACGCCGATACGCCGTTTTTAGGATAGTGTGGATGCACCCTCAATAGAATGACATATCATAATATGTCAATTTTTTTACATTTTCGCATATGGTTTATTTGAAATTGTAACATGCGGTTCATAATGACAATTTGACTCGAAATACCATGTGTGTGGTACCAAATTATTCGTAAAAATGCTTTTTCCAAATATGCTAACCAGCCTCCCTTGTTCGTTTGGAAAAACTGAGATATGATTAAAAATACGATTTGGGCATCTTATAAGAACGGGCCCGGACAAGACACGAAAATCATTAGATTATCAAATCTATTTTTCCAAGGCTCCTTGATTAAAAATTAGTATTTTTAACACAGCCATGGCACTCTAGATTGAAATTTAAAATACAATTTTTTTAAAGCGAGAATGTCAAAAGTTGACATATGATATGCCATTCGATTCAGAGTGTCATTTTCTATCAAATAATGTAAAAATATACCGGGGGTGTCATTTAAAAATCAAAAGTTGTAGTCATTTCTGGTGAAACAGGAAGTGACCAAAAACAATTGAATACGTCAATCATTCCTAATTTACGTCATATTACTAATTTACGTCATATACTTACATACCAAATCTCACTTTTTTATCTAAAAAAAAATAAAAGTTACAGCGGTGAGCCACTTTTGAGACGCACCCGGTATAAAATGACAGCAATCTTCATTTCATGCCACCGCTGACGCCGTTTTTTTTTCGATTATATGGTAGTTAATCAGTACAATAATTAATTTTATTACATTACTACGTTCACTAAGATCTAAAATAGTAATTTTAGTGTAACAAAAATGTTGATTGCTGCAGTAATACCACGGTAATACGTTGTATAATCAGTTTACGGTTGGATGCTATCTACCAACACCATATAAATATGACAAACACGTTCTATGGTTACAGGTTGCATCGCTATAATATGTTCTATCTTTCTATGTTTACTTACTATGTATTCGAAAACTTAATTTGAGTAATATATGGTAGTATAATATTAATATTCATTAATCGCAATATGAATGAGAATAGTGCTTTCTTTTAATCACAATTCTAATAAATTGAACTTGAAAGTATGTGTTTCCCAGAAAAGTAGGTGGTTCTCAGACTATACAAATAGGGAATTCCCAGAAGTTCATGCTTTTAAACCTACACTTTTTTACTACTTTACTGCTATACGAATTTTATTCAAATTTAAATGATTACATTACACTTTTAAACATTTTGTTTACAGTTTCATCCAAATTCAACTCGCCAGATTAGACTTTCAATTATTTATATTTTGTGACGGGGATTCGTTATAATTATTTTGTTAGGTGTCGAACCATAAACTTTATGATAAAACTCGAAGAATTTCAACAAAACACTTTTATTAATAAACTTCACGTTTCCGTGACAAATCAAATCATATGTTTTTTCTACCTACTGTCCCTCGCTCTTTTTTATAATGGACTCGTCCAAGCGGTCCGAGAGGAGCCCTATAATAATAATAGTTCTCTGTTACAATTTTTAAATAAAACTTGTAGAAACAATCTTAAAAAATACTTACTACCTATTTTGATTTTTTTCGTTTGAATCTCTTAATATTCTAAATGAATACACTTTACTTATTAGATAAGTATACACATGGCATATATATGATTCCAAAAAACGGCGTCAAATTACTTTTGAAATGACAATCGTCAGAATCGATCGTCGTGTCAAAAAATTGTACGAGTATGTAAAGTTTTTTCATCTAAATTGATCACCGTGTCAAAAAATTGTACGAGTACCTAAAAATTTATTTCGTGCTATGATTTCAAAGAATTGTACGAGTACCTAAAGATTTATTTCGGTGGTATGATTTCATTGTCGAAGTAATTACATCAAAGTAATTACGATCATCGTATATATGATAGTGACTGTACGATAAGGCCGTTTTGTATGATATTTCTCCCCACAGGAAAAAGTTTAAACAAAAAGGTACAAAATACACACATACTCTATGATTCCAAAACACGGCGTCAAATTACCTTAGAAATGACAGTCGTCGGAATCGATCGTCGTGTCAAAAAATTGTACGAGTACCTAAATATTTATATCGATGCTACAATATCGTTCTAGAAGTAACTAATTTTTTTTTGTCGGAATCGATCGTCGTGTCAAAAAATTGTACGAGTATCTAAAAATTTATTTCGATGCTATGATTTCCTTGTAGAAGTAGCTAAACTTTTTTTCTTTTAAAGTATAAAGATAATAAACGGGGTTCTCCATCATCACTTAGTAAACACTTACAAAATCTACTAAACGAAAGTGATAATACATTGTAACTTGATTATGCTTATTACAAAGAAATTTAATTTTTAAAGAAATTTCAGATAAAAACGCTTTCGTACAGATGCATTTATAAGACAGAATATATCTAATACTAACAATAAGTACAATAATATTCACTATAGCAGAAATGCACCGTTTTTACTTCTGCACTGTGATCCATTACCGCGTCAAAAGGTCCGTTCGTCTAATTCTAATATAAATATTTGAGAATTAAAAGGCGGCAACGTCGTGGGTCTGGCGAAAACGAATAAACCTCTATTTTTTATATAAATGGGACAAATTAAACGGTCCAGCATCAGGGCCTGAAGGCATCGCTTGAACATTTTTCGTCCGATATACCCCGGGTCTGACTTAAATCTATATAAATCTACCTATCTTAAACGTACCGGGTCTGACTCCGTCGATTTAATAAATATATATATATATATATATATATATATATATATATATATATATATATATATATATATATATATATATATATATATATATACCTTACGGTTGTCGCAACTAATGTCGCATCCCCACGCCTAACCGCCACCTGTTACGATCAAGAACATCTTCCTCTTCCAAGTTACGGTCCTCCATTGCCCTTCTGATGGCCTCATTCCAGGATCTTCTAGGCCGTCCTCTTTTCCTTTTTCCAAGAGGTGACCAGCTGTAGATACGGTAGGGCCATCTTTGGTGTTCCATGCGTAGCAAGTGTCCAAACCACTTAAGGCCCCTCTGTTCGACTCTATCCACTATTGTCTGTGTGGCATCCATTTTGGCTCTGATTTTCACGTTCCTAACTCTGTCCAGTTTAGATACTCTCGCACTGCGTCTCAAATAGTCCATTTTGAGTGCATTCAAAGCTCGCTTTTGTTCAGCTTTTAAGGTCCAAACTTCACACCCATAAGTTACTACGGACTCCACTAGGGCTCTTCCAATATGTACTTTTGTGTTTGGTCTTATGTTTTTGTCCCACCAGATGCCATTCAGTGCTCCTATAATCTTCCGCTCTTGTTCTATTCTAGCAGATACTTCTGTTTTGTCCAGTCCCTTTCTGGTTATACGTGCCCCCAAATATTTAAACCATTCAACCTGTCTGAGCTTTGCATTGTCAGTAATAAAAATGTCAAATTTATCATCTGAATTGGTCACTAGGTATTCCGTTTTATCAATGTTCACAGTAAGGCCCCATTCCGTGTATGCCGAATTCAACCTGCTCATCATGAATTCAAGGTCGTAAGCATCTTGAGCTATGACCACCTGATCATCGGCAAAATTCAATGTAACCAAACAGTCATCTCCTACAGGGACGCCCATTCCCCCACACCTCTTCTTCCATTCCCTAAGAACCACTTCCAAATACAGATTAAATAAAAGAGGCGACAGAGGACATCCCTGTCGAAGGCCTTTAGTTGTAAAAATTACCTCAGACAGTTTGTTACCGCTCTTAACACGAGCTGTGTTGTTGTACAGCACCTTAATTAAATTTATGAGACATTCATCCACATCAAATTGTTCCAGTATGTACCATAGTTTAACTCTGGGGATGGAGTCGTAAGCTTTTTGAAGGTCTACAAAAGCTAGATGTGTATCTTCTTTACGTGAATTCCGTTTTTCTATCAGTTGTTGGATAGTAAATAGATTATCTATACATGAACGCCCTGCAGTAAAGCCACTCTGCTCTTCCCTGATTTTGTTGTAAGTAGATATTTCTAACTTATTCCTAATAATTTTTGTAAAAAGTCTGCTGAAGGTGCAATTCACACTAAGACCTCTGTAGTTATTCGGGTCTTTTCTGTTCCCTTTTTTATATATAGAAGTGATATAGGCTAACTTCCATTCATTAGGTATTTTATTCCGATCTACACACATCTGCATTAAGTTTGTTATTTCTGTTATAAGACATTCTCCGCCATATTTTAGCATTTCAGCCATAATACCACCCGGTCCAGCTCTACCATTTTTCATAGACACCAAGGCTTGTTTAACTTCCTCAATCGATATGTTTGTTCTAGGTTCTGTAATAGTGACGGCTTCATTTTTTTGCAAAAACTGTGGAAAAAAACGTTGTTCTATTAATAGGTTTTCATAATGTTTCCTCCAATCACTTAAATATATAGTTCCCGTCCATCGTTCACGCGTATTTGTTTTCATCCCCTTCAGAGTTCTCCATGCTTCCGTAGTTCGTGATCCCCCAATGTAAGTTTCAATATCGTTGCATTTTCTTTCCCACATACTATTCTTTTCCTCAGTTACTTGTTGTCGAACTTCCTTTTGTAACTTCTTATATGCCAGCCAATTTTCATCTGTTGGATTTCCTAACCAGTTATTACAATTCAGCTTCTTTTCACTTATCTTTTCTTCAAGCTTATCCGTCATCCATATAAATATCCATATGCAATCTAAAATCAAATCGAAAATTAGGTGTAAGAGCCACTTTGACGCCAGTTTCAAGTTTTTTGATAATGTAAATATGATCTATTTTATTAATTTCATTTCAAATTCACTATAATTCCTTTTTCTATTTTTATTCAGATATATTTATTACATTTTCAGGAATCCGCTTATAGCACTGAATCTCATTCCGACTATCGAAGTCGGAGAAAAGTTTGAAACAGTTCGATGGCCTTTTACCATGACGGTTTTGAGCGTTCTTCTCATACTTTGCGTCATTTTATTGGTGGGCGTGGCTAGACATAATAGATGCGCCCTTATTGCATTTTCAGTGTGTGGGCTTCTCGCTGTTATCGCTTCTTTCATAATGGCCAGCGTTTATTTGGGTAAGTTCAGAATAATTGTTAATAATAATCCGACTTTAAAATTATTGTATATTTCTAAATATTTCAGCTTCAACTGTGGCACTGGGAGACTTCTGTATGGGACCGGAAAAGTTTATAGAAAGTCGGGCCAGTTCCGAGCTGTCGAAGGACATTTTAAGGCATTATTTAAATTGCGAAAGGGCAAGGGCAAATCCTTTTACTCAACGATTAAGGGAAGCAAAAACTACCTTGGAAAATATGAGAATTGAGCTTAGCTTACTCAAACCACTGGCATTTCAGTTATTTCCGAAAAAAGGTAAGATTTATTGATAATCCAGCCGACTGCGCCAATTAAAACAGAAATTATATTTTTCGCTATTAGACTTTTTTAGATTTTCTATAAGGCATCTTTAAATTTTAATTATAATTTTATTGTTGCTATAATAGTCCAATATTCTTTTTAGGTTTGGAACAGAAATTCAACTCACTCAAAAACGAAATCAATGCCGCCGATACCATTGGTACCCAGTTAACAGCGCTTGTGGATTGTAGAGCATTGTACACCCATTACTTATTAGGAGCCAGAGCACTTTGTAATGTGGGACTGCTTGGGCTTACACTGATGTTAGCCTCGGCAGTACTGGCTGGTGTTCTACTAACAGTGCTTGTTTGGGTCGATTCTCATACATGGATATACATTAGAAAAAAGTAAGTACTTTAGCTCAAATTTAATATAAAAACAAGTTGCTGTCATCCACATAAATGGAATATACAGAAGTAAACTTATATTCTTTACCACTTTCTTTCGCGCGTTCAGTGTTAAAAGTAAAGTGTTTTGGTGTATTGTAGTGAATTAGTGTTTTATTTTTCTATAGTTTTATTGAAAAATTGTAGGTAATTTTTTACATTGAAAAATATGCCGATTTTACCAAATAACAATGTCAAAATTTTAATTCTTCTTACAAGGATTAATAGACAAGCCAAAAATTTGAGATCAGTGAATAGACATAATTTCCTAAAAATGTTCAATCAAGTCGCATTGGTGTAAATCATTAATCCACTAACAATGTATCACCAAATACCGTATGATCGAGAAAAAACGGCGTCCAGTTGGCTGGGAAATAACGATCTATGACATTTCCCATATAAATTTACGTATAAAATGACAGCGATCTCCATTTCATAGCCATCGCTGACGCCGTTTTTATTCGATCATACGGTATTAGGTATATTACTATTTATTATATCCTAGTATAATACTAAGGGCTGGCAAAAGTTAGTCTTGTGTCGAGATTTCCGTATGTAAGAAGAGTACAATGCGTTTATGATGTACTGAACAAAGAGATGACAGTAAACACGTTGCCAAACGTATGAAATAAACCGAGAAACTGTGCACATTGCTAAGAGACGTGGGAGGAGATATAGCAGATTTTGTCGCAGTCGACCGGTCTACCCAATCAGTACTTAAAGTTCTAGGGAAAGGTGTACATCATGCGTTTAGCTTCACGATTTAATTACGTCTCGCGATATTTTTTTTGTTTATTTATTAACGAGTCCTCGTAATTTTCCCTATAGCTTGAAAAATTTTAAGCACAAGTTAGAAACACTTGCATTTTTGGTAAAAATAAGTGGAATTGAGTTGTTGTTCGACAGTGGTCGCGCTATTAGAATTCTGAAGTCAAAAATCGATATCTCGAAATCTATTAAAAATAATTGATTGGAGTTTTTTCAAAAACTTTTCTTAACATTTCTGCTATATTTTCTTCGCAGACAGTATGTGGTAATCTTTTTAAATAAAAAAGTTACACGATTGCTGAAAATTGCTATGCACTAAAAGTAAATGGATGGGTTGTTTAAAATTTTTGAATGAAAAAAAAAACAACCTTATCGAATTTTTCTTATTTAAACATATTGTAAAATATCTTCAAAATAAAAAAAGTTTCAATGTCTAAAGTGGTTTTTAAGTTATAGCGTGTTATATTTGTTAAAAAGTCGAGTTTTTAAATTATCGCAATTGCTGACGTTTTATCGTTATAATAGAATGGATACAATCACGATATCCTTATAATTCCATTTCAGATGCTCTGAAACATATCTAATGATTTTATCTAGTTATTTTTTTAAAAAAAGTCGTTGAAAAATAAGCGGTTTGCGATCCTGATTTTACTTTACTTAAAGGGAAAGACGTACCGGCAACGCCGTAACAGCATACCGTCGCATTTCTCTCACTCCGACTTAATAAGATCCCTATGCGATTTACTTCCACACATGTAAATACCGACCCAAAAGTAACAGTTGCCAGCACGGAATACAATTTTTTGTGTTTGTTTCAGGAAAGACTATCAACAGGTGAACGAGACGGACCCGTACCTGCCGCCGCCGGCCGCGAGCCAAGCGATCGCCGCCCGCACCCTGCAGCGCAGCCAAGGGCAGTTCCCCGGACCCCCCGACACTCCTCCGCCTAGCTATGCGCACGCCGCCCTCCTTAGACCGCCCCCCTCGCATGTCGCCTCGGCTCCGGTGCATGAAGCCGATCTTTTGCTGTACACACTTTGGTTTATTTTTCTGTTTTTACTTTCGTCTTGGCGTTTAAAGTCTTTAATTCGTTATTAAACGGTCGTGGTGTAAGGAATAGACATGTTAAATTTGGCTAATTTGAAATATCTCATTCAAAGTATCAGTTTATATCATTCACAACCAGTGGGGTGGCTCCCACTATTAGATCCTTGTCAACCTGATACAAAGAGTTATTATGCTCTTAACAGAAAAACGGCAAAATCTGTTGAAAAGAAGATTATAGAGAGCAGTATCTTTATTCAGTTTAGAAACATCAAAGTATATTTATTGACAAGAAGTTATTTTTAGTAAATGTTTTGATTATTTTTTATATCACGACCGATTTTTAATTCGTTTCTGATTATTACATGTCTCAATTTTTTAGTAATATTGTGGGTTCAAACAACGAAATAAAATAAAACTAAAATAACATAAAAAAGTTAATATATAATAAAATAAGAATTCAAATTAAAATTGGTCTCTGGGCAGAACCTACTTTGTTTGTGCGGAATCCGAACCGCGGTCCTCGGCCTACCGTCACATGGTCAATGGCCTACCGACTTGACAAGTGTCGTAATCGACTCTTACTCTCGAGATATTCGATCTTATCCGGCCTCGAACCGGCGTGAATGGGTAGTGCGTGTCAATAGATTTTACACTCTTCCCATGAAACAAGAGCACGACATGACAGCGTTTCCAAAGGGTCACCCGTCCATTCATTCGCATCGTCCAACGTCGCCTAACTTGGTGATATATCGGGAACTGGTGTTTGAACCAAACAGGGCCGTTGTGACAGTATAATTACTATAAACAATAATTAAAATCTATTTCTTATATGTTCTTATTTTATTTTTTCCTCGTTTGAACCCACCATTAGTCAAGTTTAATGTTTAGATGAAGTTATTTGATTTAAATTCGTCATTTTGTATTAATACTTTTTAATTTATCTTTATTATATGTACGCCAAAAAGCTTACAGCAAACTTCACATAACGTAGAAAAGTAGTAGTTCGAAGAGCTTATATACACTGGATAGTTAATTATTTTGATTACTATTTTAATATTTAGCTATTTTTATAAAAAAAAATATCTAAATACTGAAATACTGCTTCTAAATGAGATAATCAAATTGAAAAAGCATGATTGATGTTTAGAAATTCAATATTAGAAAACAATCACACTTGTGGAACACATTTATATTTGATCTTATAATGAATATAATAAAATAAATCCAGTTATGTTTGTTCAACTGAAATATGAATAGAAATTTTTAAACAAACCTCCAAATATATACAAGAATTTATTAAAATTGTGGGTGTCTTAACTAGAGGACGCATGTCAAGGACATTTACTCTCAATTTACTATATGCTCTCAATTTACTATATCAGGCAGAACACCTCAGAAGATTGAAGCTAAGAATCAACGACGAATGTAGATTCTGTGGGGAAAATGGGAAAATATCAGAACACCTCATAAGTGAGTGCGCCGAGACGACAAACTCTCGTGTCATAAACTTTGGTACGACTGATATCGGAGATGAATAACTAACCTCTGTAAAACAGTCTCAGATACTGGCTTTTGTCAAAGTCCTGAGACTGTATAATGAATTATAACTCAAGGAGGAAACAATAGATCTGTATGGTCGTGGTACGTTTTGATTGAACAGGTAAAACGTAATATACAGGGTCCGGCAATAGTGCGTCAGGCATCTGTAGCTCATATAATAAAAAACTTGAGAATTTTGTTTAAGTGCAAACCTAAAGTATGTACCAGGATGTATTTCAGGAAAATATTTTAACTTCTATAGGGTGGCTCAAAAAAGTGTGAGTGGACCTGGATGATTTTTTTTAAATGGAACACCCTGTATATAATTGCATTTTTGGCTTCCTTTCAGAGCACTTTACATAACCCTAAGATATGAATAAATATATTTCGATAGTTTCAGAGATATTAAAAAATAAATAAAAAATATGTATTTTCAGCCCTTCTTAAAAAAATTATTTAAAATGTCCTTGACATGCGTCCTTGACTGTCCTTTGACATGCGGGGAATCTATAATTTCGACAAGCGACATATAAAAACTGACAGATTCGGCAATTGATAAATTGCAATTGACAAATTCGTTCAGAAACTATTGTTAAATAATATTGTTAATATTTTTTCTGCCATAAAATTGAATGTATCACAAAACATAACAAATCGCAAATTAACAATAATGTACATATTAATCCCACTTCTGATGTTAGATATTAGATTATAACATTAATAATATGTCAGTTATGTTAAAAGTGATAAGGAACGTTGTGATATCCCACTTGGATTTATCTATACATATAACATATTTTAGAAATATAACGTTATTCATTGGCGTACCGCTAACAATCTCATAATATATTCAAACTTTGAAGAAACTATACATATACTTCTACTACTTCTCATACATATTTTTTAGATGTGAATATTTAAAAATCTTCTCTGCATAGGACATTCACGATTTTATATATTCTTGTATTTTTTGGTACTCCTTTTTAATTCAAATTATGCTATAGGGATGGCTGTGATACAAGGGCTCAGGAGCATCACCGCGGTGCACATTTATCCCATCTGAGAGGTCACACTTTGGGACGTTTACCGTCTCATCATCATCACGAGTCGATTTCAGGACCAAACAATGGCAAATACGCTACTTTGAGCAAACAGTGCAAGACGTTAGAAAGCTCGGATTTCTACTGAGACAGGTATGCCATTATTGTAGTAAATATTTTTCAAACTAGAGATTGAATTAATACAAAATTTATATGAATATTTAGATATTGTTAATAAAAAAATGTGTATCATATTTGCGTATATTATGAAATTCTATTTCTATAAAATTTATTTACTAATATTTTTACTCTGTCTCATCTTATATAAAATTAATAGTTTAATAATTGTTAGACAGAATGAATAGTTTATTTTTATATAGTCGGATATAATATGCAACAATATAATATGCAAAATTATTTATAAGTGAAAGTATACCGGGTGCGTCTCAAAAGTGGCTCACCCCTATAGCATTTTTATTTTTTCAGATAAAAAAAACGAGATTTACTATGTTAGTATATGACATAAATTAGGATTGATTGTCGTATTCAATTGTTTTTGTTCACTTCTTGTTTTGCCGGAAATAACTACACCTTTTTATTTTTAAATAGCATCCTCTGTATATTTTTGCTTTATTCGATAGAAAATGACTCTCTGAGTAGAATGACATATCATGTGTCAACTTTGGCATTTTTGCATATGGTTTACTTGAAATTGTAACATGCGGTTCATAACGACAATTTGACTCGAAATACCAAGTGTGTTGTACCAAATTCGTAAAAATGCTTTTTCCAAATATGCTAATAGTCCATTTGCATGCTAATAGTCCATTGAATGCCTTGTTCCATTTGAAAAAATTGAGATATGATTAAAAAGACGATTTGTGTATCTTTTAACCGGCCAGGACACGACACGAAAAACATTAGATGATCAAATCTATTTTTCCAAGGTTTCTTGATTAAAATTTAGTGTTTTTAACACACCCAGTACTCTAGATTGAAATTTAAAATACAATTTTTTTGTAAGGGAAAATGTCCAAAGTGTATGTCATTCTATTCAGGGTGCATCCACATTATCATAGAAAAAGCGGATAGGCGCGCGGCGTATCGGCGTAACGACCTTGAAACGATTTTCAGTAATTCTATTGGCTGAAAAAATCATCTGTCAAAAATTTCATCTGTCAAATTCATCTGTCAAAAATTTCAGCCAATAGAATTACTGGAAATCGTTTCAAGGTCGTTACGCCGATACGCCGATCCGCTTTTTCTAGGATAATGTGGATGTACCCTCAGAGTGTCATTTTCTATCAGATAATGTAAAAATATACCGAGGGTGCCATTTAAAAATCAAAAGATGTTGTCATTTACGGTGAAACAGGAAGTGACCAAAAACAATTGAATACGTCAATCAGTCAGTTTATGTCACATATACTATAATATACTAAACTTAAGAAGTTATAGGGGTGAGCCACTTTTGAGACGCACCCGGTATATGTGTATTAGTAATGAGCGACATATCACGATAAAAAACTCTGATTTAATCACTGATATCAAAAAATCACAGAACGTTAACAAAAGTCATACAAAACCTTGACGTTCACGATATCGCTAAGTTAGGCTTGTTAGACCTTTTCGTAAGATAGGCGACAAAATATACTGTACTTATTGTTCATCATACCAGTTTTAAGCTAGTTAATACCCTGTAATGTTCTTGAAACAGGCATGCCTGCAAGGAGTTCCCAAACTTTAAAGGTTTTAAGTTCGACCAAGGACAGCAGCAAAGTAGCAACGTCCAACAGCACAGCACAGAACAACAGCCTCACGAAACGCAACGCACCGCCACCCTTGGAAAGTACTCATCTTTGGGACGTCGTCCCTTACCGCAAACGCCCGATGAGAAGGCTAGAAACAAGCCACCTGTACCGAAGGTTCCTGTTACCATTTCTGGAACCATTCCAGAGACCCCAATTAACCCTAATAATTTCAGGTAATGCCCGTTCTATACCCAATAAAATAATTATCAGATGGTGTTTTTTATTGTTTATTTCTAAGTTGTTCTATTTTTTGATCCCATTCTTGTTATTAATCGTCGTAGGATGTTCTTAATATTATTAGCTATTTGCTCTAGGTCTCTTCAACGTGGAGCTTGGCAAGAGTCGGTGAGTACCTTCCAACCTAACCTGCAATTCAGGTCGCTGCAGCGCGGCAACCTAGGACCGCCAGGTGCGCACGCGCAATTCAGATCCGTCAAGATTCAGGATCAGAACCAGCAGAGCGAGGCTATGTACGCTAACAGCGAAAACGAGAGGCAGTTGTATGCTGTTACCGAACTGTGAATTGGTCAATTAGTTTTGTTTTTTGTATAAGACCGAATATAAAAATCGATCGTTTTGACCATAAAGAGACTGATTTACATTCCGAAAATCGTTTTCTAAGTCACCAGCACATTCCTTATTCTTTTTCTATGGAAAGTTTTTTAAATGTCAGGGAGTTGTCTAAAATTATAAGACAACTAAAAATGTTTTTAGTGGTCTGAATTTTGATGTTGAAGGTAATTATGGAGTTTTCGAAATAAACAAAGTAAAATGAAGTAAAACAGGAGTTCTTCGAAAATTAGATCTCCTGACGACCACAATGACTTTTAATGGCGTATTATAATTGAACATTTTTTTGTGGTTATGATTATCTGGTAATGAAATATTCATAAATGCACAGTTTTATATTTTTAGATAAATGACTGACAAACTTTACACTAAACTTGATACTAAGTAGATATTTTAAAATTGAGATTTAATATAATATAAATTCACAATCGCAACAAACTTGAGACTGAACTTTTTTTGATTTAGGTCTAATGACGATCGGTTTTTAGAAATTGGTTTATAAAATGTACCAATATCTATTATAACCTTTTTTATAAATATTGGCTCTAATAGATATTTTACATTTGTGTATGTTTTTTTTTGTTTCATTTTGGGAAATGCAGGCATGTGGTTAATAGTAAAGGATATTTCTTTTTTATTTTATATTATTACTACGTGTATGTAGATATTTTTTTATAAATTTTAAAGCATATAGTAGTACAACATATATTATTAGTGATCTTAGTTGCATTCCTTCATCCTGTCTACTATAGGTAGTAAGGTAGCCTATGGAATTTATATATGTAATTATTCTAATAAAAATGATATATGTTGTACCATAATGGACTAATATACTGTTAGGTTATTACCCCAACCTAATACCTTATAATTTGTCGATAAAAATTGCAAAGATGTATATAGTAAGGATGTTTAATTTAAGGTAGTTAATACATTTTGAATAAAATATATGTTGGGAAAAAAATATTGAATATTAGGTATATTAGTTCATTCAATTTTTTGTATAGGTATGTACGTTTTAGTGCCATAAAATATACGTGGCATTTTTTACGATTTCACATTAAAAGGAATCGACATTCAAAGGCTCTAGCACAATTTACTTCTATAAATGTTATAATAAATGGACATTTTCATTCTAGAATCATTACTGTAAAAACTCAGGCTAGTTATTACGAGCGATACAAAACGAATTTTCTAGGGGAACTAGTACAATTTTATATAATTCTCTCTAAAGTACATTATTTCTTCTACATGTCACTTTTAGACACTTCTAGTCTGAGATTGTTTTAAGTTCATGGTCATTCAAACATAATGTGCCAAAATATAAATGAGAGGCTTTCTAGTAGAAATAAAAACAAGAACCTGTTGTGGCACAAATAGTAAACATACATCTGATACAATGGGGAACAAAACCAGATTTTTTTTGCTGTATAAAAAATAAAAAACGTAGGAACTCTACCGTCTCGGATGCTCATTTTTTACATAGGGTAGTGAATGGGACGGCCGTTATGCTCAAAGAAGCATTGTATTTATTTTTTTTTATAAATTTTAATGGTGTAGATGGATAATTGATTAATAAAATGTATTTTTTGCTTTACAATGTTAGCTAGAATATTTTTATTCTATAAAAATAACATAACTAGCAATTTAAAATTATCAAAAAGTAATTTAAGTCCACAATATATTGCTTGTAAATGCATTTTTAATTTTTAGAAAAAAATAGTATATACGGGGGTCTCATGATAAATAAATGTACTAGCATTTACTTTCTCTTCTAGAGAATCTACCGTGTATGTCTGTATTATGGAGCTGTTACATATATATTGATATATTCCTATTACCTAAGTAAAAATACTAGGTTAAAATTAGATACAATGTGAAATTACTAGTTCAATTTAAATTTTCAAATTGTGCTTTATTTGTACTGGAATTATTTTAGTTAACTCAGTTAAAAATATGTAATAGCTACATAAAACGAGATGTGGTAGTTAAAATAGGACTAATATTGTTATAGAATTACAGGGCGTACATTTTCCATTGACCCTGAATAATTTTGTATATTTTGTCGTAAATATAAAAATACTGAATAACTGCCAAAGACTATGGTTTGATGCTTGACGCTGAAAGTTTTGTATGGGTGTTTGTATTAGAAGTTGTTCTACAGGGTGAACAAAAAGAAGTGTTAAGTTACCAACCAAAAATATAGAATTTCTCTTATTCAATTTTTAAACGGTCCCCTGTACAACCATTTAATGTAAGATTTGTCAAACTGGAGAGGCACTGTTTGAGTGCGTGATGTATAATATTAAATTAACTAATAGTAAATGTATCTTTCCACTCATGAATTACTTTATAGCGTTTTGAATGTTCTTTAAATTTTAAGGCGTCGATGTTTTCAGGTAGGCATTGTATAGTTTATAAATTAGTTGTGTTTTTAGTTTCTTTTTGGTTTATTTTATTTTCTTTTTAAGAGGAAGCTTTAATTTGTGTGTACGTTATATATTTTGTATGATAATGTCACTGTATTTATTGATTTTTTGGAACTGATAACGCATTTTTATTGTATAGTATGTTTATGTAATAAAAAACTTGAGACAGTCGATTTTGTATTTTAATCAATACAAGGTGTGCGAAAAAGTTTGGAACAAAAGGAATTGTAAAAAGTTTATACGGAATATTTTAGCATATACCATCCAGGATACTTCATGTGTGTGGTCTGAATTTTAATGCATGCGACAGAGTTGACCGATTAATGACCAGTTGACAGACAGGGACAAAATAAATTGCGGCATAAAGTGTTGCCGGTTTTTACGTGTGTAGGAAAATCCGTGTAGAAAACAAACTATTTTAAAAACTTTCATGCATTCTACTGAAATGAAGATCTAAGCTAAATGTAATATATTACAGCTGTAGTAAAATGTATTACTAATTGTGGAAAATAAAGTTCCAACCCTAGATGCAACATTTGCGTAAACGCCTACTTGTGCGGTTAGAAATTTTGATGCAAAATCTGGCAATACCGCATAGAATAAATGTATCAACCCAACTTTTGTGTCTTTTTAATGCATTGGATTTTACATTAAGCTGTTTACATCACTGTCTTACACGTGGTTTGGATTTTACCAAACCACGCAGTTTCGATGACCAGATGGGTATAATGTCACACCTCTCATGGCGGAAAGTTACAAAATATTCTATGCAAATGCAATTAGTGGGGTTAGATGAGACAAAAGATCGAAAAATGCCAAAGGGAAAAGTTGTTTGGAACTTATATTATTTTTCCAAAATGAAAGCTATGTATGTACAGTCAGTGTATGAAATACACTGAGTGAAATAAGTTTTCCTTGTACATTGCATATTGAAATAACGAAGCTCCTTATAAAAACAAATTTAAGGGTCTTGAGAAAATCTAAATTAAAAAAATCAAAGGCAACCAAGGGAAGATATTGATGTATGAAATCGAATACAATATATTTACTTTCTTTGGCAAAAAAATAATACATACTCCATTTATGAAATGTTATAATGATGTTAACGCATGACATCTAAAAGATATAATTTTTAAAAACGAATTTTACCGTTTATTGTTTTTTTTCATTTATTATTTTTCTATACATGTTTTTAAGGTATGTAGGTATCAATGACTAAAGAATACAAGGATATGTAATGCCCGCATACACGGGCTGCAGCAGTATTTGTGATGTTAGACGCCATTTTTTTGGAAGTAACGAATGAGCCATCAATAGTTTGTGTGTAGTGAACTTTATTGTATAAACTTTGTTACAATGGTGATTAGTTGTACAGCTTTCAAATGTAAAAGTCGCAGCGATAAGAAAGAGCCAGAGGAGTTACGTTTCACAGGTGAATAAACAGCCCACTCCACATTTTTAGCGCTTTTTTAGTGAATTCGATAATTATTTTTCTTATGTGGGGAGACAATGTGCACTATTTAAAATTATTTTGAAATATACAGGGTGTTTCAGAACTAAGATCCATACCAAAGTTATATTTTTTCTTATGGAACACCCGGTATTTTATTTCATTGTTGGATTCTTGGGCCCAAAAAAAGGCATTTATTATAAGGGTTAAATATGTATAAAATCTTTGGTTTTTGAGATATTTAAAGATATTTAAATTTGCATGCTACTATAGAATAGATTATTAACACTGTACATTACTTTTCAGAATTAATTCTTGTGCTGAGTTTAAAGGTAAAGAAATAAACTTTACTGGAAAATGTTATTACTTCCTTAAATTTATACAGAGGTATCAAAAATTGCTGATTTAATTTACGGATTTATTTTACATAAAAACTTCGTTATTTCAAATGCAACACCCTGTATTTTTTAAAATAAACCGAAGCAGATTCAAATGCTGGGTGTTCCATAAGAAAAAATATAACTTTGGTATGGATCTTAGTTCTAAAACACCATGTATATTTCAAAATAATTTTAAATTGTGCCACATTGCCTCCCCACATATACCCATAAAATATTTTGTTTCTACATCTTTTCGATTTCGTATAATCAACCGATGCGAATGAGGTGCGCCACCCTGTATGTGCTTGATATATGTGCTATACGTCGATACTACGGTATGATCGAAAAAAAAAACGGCGTCCAGTTGGCTGGGAAATGATGATCGATGACATTTCCCATATAAATTTACATTTAAAATGACAGCGATTTTCATTTCATAGCCAACGCTGACGCCGTTTTTTCTCGATCATACGGTAGTTTTGTACCTTTTCTTAACATTTTAATACATTTTTTCGTAATTAATTAGGCGTTCTTCAAAACATTTATCAAAAATATAAATATCTCTTCAAGCAGCTATGTTAAGAAAAATATGGGCCACGGCACTGTTTGTTGGCATGGTAACAATTTGGTCTCGCGTGTTATTAGTCCTTATATTCTTTAGTCATTGGTAGGTATAGTCTGTCCAACAAGAAAATTCCTGACAATGACAGCTGTGACTGTCACACCAGGGGTTACACAAGCAAATTGATTTGATTCTCTCAATTTCTGGATGTGGTCTGTCGAAATCTTCCTTTACGCGTTGGACAGACTTTATTTTTATTTTAAAAGGCACAGTCTAAGTATATAGTTTTTAGTCTTATTAAGGTCAGTAATATTTTAAATCTAATTAACAAGTATTAATTAATTTTTCCGAAATCATAACCTAATCTCGAGAAGCCTTGGGATATCACGTTAAAATTCATATGAATTCTTCCATAAGTTTCCATTCTTATCACTGCAACAAAAATATTTTATAAATATTATAAATAATTATTCATGTACACACACCGGAAAAATTTGGGATATCATTTTATTAAAGTTAAAAATAAATGTTTTGAACCACATATTTGTTGGCCGATTCTTTCTACTTCGATTGAAACGAAGTAGTCACACTAGTTATTTCTAAATTTGGGATATTTGCAGAAGTGTTTGTACATTTTTTGTCAAATGTATATAAAGTACCTAGCATCAATCGTTCGAATTTAACCTGTACTGGCTATGTTTTTATGAAGAGAACCGGGAAATCTTATTCGGTTGGATCATGTTCAGGAAGTGCACCCTTATCAAGGTGGAACAGTTATGGTCTGGGGAGGAGTCCAGTTAGGCCGAAAAACCGATCTCGTTTTTCTTGAAAGGTTTCTAACGGGAATCACATATCGTGATTTAATTCTTGAGCCTGTTGTGTTACCATATGCCAATGATTTTGGGAGAAACTTCATTCTCGTGCATGACAATGCACAGCCTCATACAGCCAGAGTGGTAAGTGAGTTTATCAATGCTCATCAATTAAACATCTTACCCTGGCCGGCACAATCTCCTCACCTCAACTTCTTGGAGCATGTATGGGACGCGGTCCAAAGAAGAATTTTGAGAATGGGTATGCCTCGTGAAACTCGTAGGGATCTGGTTCAGGCCGTGAATGCAGCGTGGCAGGCTGTACCTCAAGAAGAGATTGACAACCTGATCAGGAGCATGGAGAGACGATGTAGGGCTGTAATGAACAGTAGAGGAGGCCATACCCTTTATTAATTAAAAATGGTTTTATCTTTTTTTTTAATTCACAGTTTAGAATAAAAAAAAATTGTGTATTTTTCTGAATTCAATAAATATCAATATAAATTTGGAAATTTCGGTAAATTTCGCATTTTTATTTCCAATACGTCCTGTAAACTATTTGTTTATTTTAATTTTATTATATCAGATATGCAAATAATAAAATTACTGACGATGGCTGGATAAAATTGTAATATCCCTAGACTTTTCCGGTGTGTGTATATTATTAAAAAATCCTAAAATAGAAGAATAGAGTATTTCAGACATACTTAAGGTACTTACAATGATTTCCAGCAGTTGTAGCTAACATCTTTGGTTGTAGTAACTCTGGCTGATATCCAAAAAATGATCCAATATATCCCAGGAATGAGGACGGTTTCGGTCTAGCAAGTTCAACTTCTAAATGATGATTTCCTGGTCTTATTGGCATGTGAGTTCTACCGTAACCTTCTAAGGACATTCCTTTGTAAACGCTTACTATCATTTGCGGCCCTATGAAATTTAAAAGAACGGGACATTGACAAATTGAAAATAAAGTGGGAAACTTTTTAACTTACATCCATAAGGATTAGTGGATTTGAATTGTACATCCACAGGATAATTTAATACTATTTTATCGTTATTGTTTACGACATTGACGATTTGGGACAGTCCGCCTTCCAGACCACCAATAATTTTCCAGTCCGTTCCTGAACAGAATTCGTATTTACAGTGGAAGGAGGATCCAATCGATGCCATCACTTCCACAAATTCAATTTGACCCGAAATCGAAAGAAGGAATGTTCCTCCTTCCGACATTTTCACCAATTTTCACTTGCGGTGTTTTGACGGGCTTTTTAAATTGTTTTGTTTGTATCGAAAATTTAATCCAAGCGTATAATGAGGAGAATAGGCAACCAGAAATTTTATTTTTATTTTCTATAAGAGAATATAGGGTGTAGAAGGTAAAGGGGGTAGCAGTAATATCTGGTAATATACAGGGTGAGCCTCAAATAAGCGCAAATATTTTCAGGGTTGGTAGATCTCGATAAAATAAACATATTTTCCCCTTTACCGTTTTGGAGATAACTCCAAAATAACTGATGAGTTATTTTCTATAAAATTAAAAAAAATATATTTTTGGCTTAAATTTTCAAAACCACTGGAAAGTTGCTTCAAAACAGCAACTGGGATGGCGCTTTGGGATGTTGACCAAGATGCCATCAAAAAGGTTTTAAAAATTTCAAGGATTGCTGAGTTTTTTGGAAAAACGTATTTTTTGAAAATAAATTTTATTTTTTCCTGTCGTTATTTTTTAGAAAATCAAAAAACTAATTGCAGATTCTTATTACCATTTTATTAGGGCTATTTGATGGTATTTTTGGATTTTCAAATTAGCTGATAATTTGGAAGCTACATAGGCTAACTTAATTTTTTTAAATACGGACCTGCATTTTTTATTTCAGGTTTTTAAAGAACGTGTCTCTTGAGTACAATGATATGCTACACTTGATACTTTTTGTTTTGGGTATTTTAACAATGACAAATCTATTTAATTATTATTTAAAATCATTTCAAGTTCGACTCTGGTTTTTTAATTTATAATCTGATTATATTCATCGCAAAAATATTGATCAGCGCTAATTAACATCGAATAAGGAAAATCAAGCCAATTAAAATATTCAAATAATTAATATCCAGGTCAGCAATTTAAAGATAATATTTTTAACTTTTTTTATTGTGAATTTGAAATCTCAGTGTACGATCTTATAATACGCGTAATATTAATTGTAATTATTATAAATAAAGCTTCTACAAACTAGTTTCTAATGCTCTACATGTTCGAAAGGGTTAATGTGTATTACATACAAATGTCCAAAACAAAAAAAGTATCAAGTGTGGCATATCATTGTACTCAGGAGATCGAGTTCTTTCGAAACCTGAAATAAAAAATGCAGGTTCGCATTTAAAAAAAAATTAAGTGACCTCTGTATCTCACAAATTATCAGCTAATTCAAGTCTAATCGAAAAACTTGTTCCTATTGTTACGGATTCCGTGGGTCCACTATTTAAACTCACGATAAAATACTTAACGAATTTATTTGTTTCACTCTGTACACACAACTTATACTATTTACAACACAACTTATGCAACTACTATTACTCTAACGGTATTTCGCGGTATTTTCATACTTCAGACTTCAGACTATCTTCAGACTTCAAACTTCAAACTTCAAACTTTAAACTTCAAACTTTAAACTTCAAACTTTAAACTTCAAACTTGTCCAACTGTCAAAGCGCGGGCCTTATATACCCCCTGGCGGTTGTTTCTAGATTTTTCTAAAGAATTCTATAATTTTCTTTACTTTCTGGCGAATGCGCCAGGTTCCTCAATGCACGCCGCGACTATTCAGCAGTACGCAGTTATGCAACCAGTAATACACCTTGACACTATCTAACTTGAAAATCTAAAAATACCATCAGATAACCCTAATAAAGTGGCTATGACAATGTGCAATTGGTTTTTTGATTTTTTAAAAAGTAACGACAGGAAAAAATAAAATAATCTGGCAACAAACATAGTTTCTACCGGCGCGGCAGCTCTGAATGCAACATTTGTGTCGTTTTAAAATGGGACAAAATATATTAAATTCAGTAAGAAATAAAATTATATACCAATAAGGGAATTATTAAGTTTAATAACATCGGGCAATTATTATCCCTCGTACCATAGGCCCTCGGGACTGAAACTTTGCCCTCGATAATCGATAATTAACACCCTTATAATTTCCTTGATACATAAGCTATTATGGTTCTCTAGTACTTTTGTATTGTGTTAAACTATTGCCACTAGTCCTCCCAAACTCAATCTTAATGCGCCAGCGGTACACTGTAGTATCACATTTTACTCGTTTGCTCATCGTCATAAAAAACAATTTTCGTACCACGAATTAGGGACAAGATTTTTATCTGTATACATGTCCTAATCTGTGGTAGTCGTATGACCAAAAAAAAAACGGCGTCAGCGATGGCTATGAAATGAAGATCAATCATTTTATATGTAATATGGGAAATGTCATCGATCGTCATTTCCCAGCTAAATTATACGCCGTTTTTTTCGATCATACGGTATATAAATTAACTGAATTCCTCACTCAAAGAAAATATCCTGCAAATTAATATATTACAAATATTTGAATTGCATTTAGATTACATAAAATCTATTTAATTCTTACATTTGTATCTAAGATTGCATTATACGCTTGTTACTAATATAAAACCGCTATTGTTTATGATTATTTTCGTAGGTGCGATATATTCAAATCGTTTAAACAATCATACCTACCTATCCAGGTCAGTGGAAATATGGTAATCAAAATTAAATGATCTCTTATTCCGCATCTAGACTGAGAGGTCCTTCTGCACAATAGAAAATAATGGATATTTGCATAAGAAGAGGTTTATATGAAAGGTATTATATACAGAGTAATAAAACTATAGAAATAGCAAGTCATTCAAAAATTCGCACTTATTTACACGTTAAAATACGGCAGGGTGGATAGTCGAGGATAAACACAGATCGACACAATTAGGAGAACGAGAATAATTTACACTAAGGCTGCACACAGAAAGAGCAAAATGTTTTAGTTAAAGATGTTTTTGTCCCGGGGAATAAAAACATTCTGAGAAATTTATTCGAGTGTCTTAGACCGGTTGTAGGTTTCTCATTCCAGGTTACGGATGGAGTTTTCCAGGTTTTTGAGTTTTGCTTTAAATTGGTTTCCATTTAGGAAACAGAACCCAACAAGAAAAATTTATTGCTGGAACATTGCCAAAACTTCGCAAAGCAAGGTGTTACATTGCTTTTTTCATTGTAGGGAGGTTTATGCAAGGTGGCAGGTTAGCTTAATCTTCCGCCAAATAACATTGCAGTGCAAGGTTGAAAAAAATGTTGATGCAAGTTTATTGAAACCTTGTCACAACCTCGTGAAAAGATTTCACAATATTATTGAAACGTTACTACTCTAACGTTCAAGAAAGTACTAATTTGAGATTTATTCGCAATATTGTTAATTTTACGTCAATACAATATTGGTAAAATTATATTGTACCTATGGTTCAAAACTAATTGCCCATTAAACTTTCTATTTTGTTATAACTTATTAATTGACTTATTGTCAAAATAATATAGCAAAAAATAGATATGTTTGCAATAAAAAACCATTTCATTCATAGGAGAGTATACATAGAAATGATTTTTTAATATTTATGTACTTATCAATTAATGAAAAGGTTTTTTCTTAAGAACATTAGCAATTTTATGTTACCAATAATACATCAGTAATAGATTATAATCAACAGAAACATTAATGGGTATTAAATTGTAGACTTTCAGATAGGTATAATATACTTTTACTAATATTGTATTGACGAAAAACAAACAATATTGATAAAAATAGGCATATCTCTATATCCATTGACTTAGAAAAATTAACAATGCTCGGTATAAATATATCCCTACCAAGAAAGTCGAATTTGTCAAACAAATTGAAATAAACAAATAAAAATTAGAAATTTATCACTTACTTGTTTCAAAAATATCAAAAATACTGTCAAGTATTGAGAACTTACTGATCTTTTCGGCTGCTCATTAAATAAAGAATTACACAACTCCGACCTCTGAGTCGAATTTCTAAAAAAATCTTAAAGTTGAATGTCTGAAATAATACAAAATATATAGGTACAGTATAAACATTATTATATATTTCTTATTCAAAAATACAAAAGGAAAGTATAACATTAAATATATGTACAAGGAAAGGCAAATTTATATTTTAACTGATTTTTTGGATCTTTCATATTTTGTCTTCGCATGTTGAATTGTCTTATTCATGGTTTCAAATTCCTCTTCGGTAAAGTTTTGAAATCTATATCCAATCAATTCTAAAGTAGCAAAAATAAAAACAATCAGTTGTAATAAATATATAAAACAATGAGTAACTTACCTCTTGTGACAGTAATCTTTGAGGCCCCTTTATATCCTTATTTTACAAATCTCAAATGATTAAAACATCATTAAAAAATATTATTGAGAATAATTAATACTGAATATTATTTGTGATTTATCATTAGATTGATATACTCGTGTCCTGGTTTTATCTACTTCAATTTTCAGTTGGCTAAAAGCTAATCTAAAACACAATTTAGCTTATAAACAAACTAAACAGACTTATACATGGCTAAGCATTATTAAAACAAACATGATAATAAAATTATACTTACATTTACATTCATTAAAATCTCATTCGAAAAGCATAAAACGTGATACCAAAAACGTAAAAAAACAAGTGCATTAACCTAACCTAACTTCTAACTTATACCGTATGATAAAAAAAATGCGTCAGCAATGGCTGTGGAAAGAAAATCACTGTCATTTTATATGTAAAATTATATGGGGAATGTCATCGATATTAATTTCCGAGCCAACTAGACGCCGTTTTTTTCGATCTTATGGTATATTTGTTATATTATTAATTATTATTAACTTGCGCGGATCTTTCATTTTAATTTTTGTTGCAATGTTGCAGAAAAAAAGTTTTAATCGCCATTCAAAAACAATGTTTCTGTAGCAAGATTTCATCAATCACGACACAACGTTTAGAAATTAACATTACAAAGCAAACTGTTTGGGGATTGACTGTAATGTTGCAAATGTAATGTGAGGTTTTTTGCTTGGTGGGAATGGTTCTAGCCCAGTTAGTGGAGTGTTCGCTTTTTTCAGGCTAGATCGTTTGCTTTTTCATTACCTACTCTCCCTTGGTGGGCTGGCACCCAGAGTAAGAG